AATATAAAGTACCATGTAATTTGTGGCATACATTTAAGCCTTAGGCCTTTAATTCATATTTTTCAGTAAAAACCTTTTCATGCTTCAATCATAAAATTTTACCTGATCACAAGAATACACAATTTTACCTGATCACAAGAATCAGGAAAAAAATATTTTCATCATCATAGCAGAAAATAATTTTTTGACATACATATGATACAGGTTATTTCAACTATGCTAGGTTATACTTGATTTTTTGTTTCTTTATTCGTTTTCTAAAATTTATTTTGATGTCTAGGTATAACTACCACAAAATAGCATTTCTGATGAATTCACCAATGTCTGTGACTTTAGTAAAACAACGTTTCTTCCCCACCTTGAGTTTTGTGGTGACGTCTCTCTTGGACAGTTTCCTCAGCACCATGCGGAACTCTGGGTCCACGGTGGCGTCTATGTCCTCGGGCCCCTGCGCCGCGGGCACGTACCCCAGGTCCCCGGACATCGCCCCAAAGCCCACGAACCCGCTGTCGCCGGACGAGACGCGGGACATCAGCTCCGCCATTCTGCCGCTGCTGGAGGGCTGGTCAGGGCAGACATTGTAGATAAGTAATTGTTACAGGGGAGAGATGATATCTTTCATTACTGACTGGGCTGGGACTTACTGTGGGCAGCACCAAACCAGTTCTGTGGTTTCTGCACTTCTTAAGTAAATAATATCTAAATTATTAGACCTTAGCTGGAGGACTGGTCAGGGCAGACATGGAAGGTTTCAGGGGAGACATAGTACATTACTGGGGAGACATGGTACATTTCATTATACTGACTGGGCTGGGACTTACTGTGGGCAGCAGCAAACCAGTTCTGTGTTTCTTGGTCATCTTAAGTAAAAACCTATAGCAAGACCTTTTCTGTAAGATTTTAAATCATTATACCTTAGCTGGAAAGCTTATCAGGGGAGACATGGCATGTTCATTACTGACTGGGCATGGACTTACTGTGGCCAGCAGCAAACCAATTACATGGTTCCTGGAGATAAAATTACTATTTAAGATTTTAGATTATCTGTGTGGCCTTACACCAATTCATCTCTTTGGAGTTTGGTTCTCGGAAATTTTAAAGTAAAAATTCAGCAAGATGACAAGATGAAAGCAGAGCTGCTGGGGGAAAACTTGTACCTGACTATACTCACTCCCTGAAACTGTGTGAAAAAAGCAAGACTCATGATGATAATAATAACTAAAGATATCACCTACTTTTGTGTCACCCTCGCCTTCCAAATTGTGTGTCCAAAGAAAAATTCAAACAAATATTTTGAATTATCGTTATGTATCTGAGAACCAACCGACTGAGTTGGCCTGAGTTAATCCACAGGGTCGCTTCCGGCTCATCAGGTAGATCCTTCTGGGAGATACCATTTGTGCCTCCCATGGGGAGATACCATTTGTACACGCACCTCCCACTGGACCTAATGGACTGTCATGGGGTCAAGACTACAGGAAGCACTCAGGGATACTCCATTTTAAAAACAGAGGGGGGAATATACGAAAGAATTCCATTTTACAAGCAGTATTTCATTTTCTCAGTACAGTAAATATGAAATATTTTGCCAACATGTATCCATATAATTTTCTTCAGCACAGTTCTATCTTCATTTCACTTCAAATTTTTCAGTAACAGCCCACTTACTCCGAACTGTACACCCTAACTTGTTGCCAAATGGTACAGCCCTAAATGGACAATTTGCCATTTTCCTGGAATATACAGAATATAGTGCAGCTGCCACTCTACAATCAGATACTGCAGTTCCCACAATTGCATGTAACATTACATCTTGCTAGAACCACTAGTCAAATATCCGATGATGGGAGGAAGAACACCCACACTTCTTAGAAAATTAAATGACATCAGAGAATATAGCTACATGTAACGTTTCATGCAACTTATTCATACGTATAATATATATATATACATGTATTCCTACTGTGATCTTTGTAATTGTCTGCATATGAATTAGAAGTGAGGCATAGCTGATCTGCGGTTATGCAATTGCTTACACCAATTTAAGGATTCTTGCCTAATGATCAATCAGCCAATTAAACCCTGCTGTCTAATATATATGCAAATGAGGGAAAACCTTGTCCTGAAAGAACAGGTCACCTCAAGCCTTACTATTACTAGTACATCCTGTACAAGTAAATATCATAGGAAAATTATTCTTTGTTTCCAAATATGAAGACTATTTGTTGAAGAGGTTCATCAGTAACATAGAATTAACAGTTAGTAGAATATTCTTCAATCAGTGACTGTTTTTGTAAGGTAAAATCAAATTTGGAGGTACATGTACCTGATTTTACCTTACAAAACAGTCACTGATTGAAGAATATTCTACTACTAGTAACTGAAGAGTGTTTGGTTTTTATAAAATAGGATGTACAAATGTACATAGTCTGCTGTCTACTAGCTTAAAGTTTAACCAATAGAGAATTTGTAACCAAATGACTATTTCAGTGTAGTTAAGATTAAACAACATACTGAAAAACTGTCCACTGATCAGGAAAAATCCCAGCCCAGAAACTGGCCTGAGTAGTTGTCTGATCATCACCATAGTAACATTTATTATTATAAACTACTGTGGTTATGCTAATCATTAAAATCAACATACATGTATTGCACAAATAAACACTACAAACTGACCAGTGCCCTTGATAAAAAAATCTCATATTTTGCAGGAAATAAAACCAATATATATCAAAGTACATAGTACTAGTAAATTTCGATTTCAAACCCTAGCATTTTAATTCCAATTTAATTAAGGTAAAGGATTAAATAAATAACTCTAAATGATAAACGTTAAAGATAAAATCGGTGGCAAGACAAGGAGGGACTAGCATACATGAACAACTGCGATACTTCGTTTATAATATCAGACAAGAATGTAGAGAAATAAAATCCTCTCCAAACGTAGGTCGGGGTGAGACTACGGACGGTATGGCGCAGTTGTGAGAATAAAACAGGTGCCGTAAATTATGCCCACTCGGTCTATGCCAAAACTGGGGGGTTTGGGGGGTCTTCAGGGTCTTTGGGAGCTTTTATGTGCTATTTTCTGATTACATACAGACAACATAGCCGGTCTGGTTAAATTACCCCCGTTTTTAGAACTGGGCCAATCAGAAAACAGCCGAAGACCACCAAACCCCCAGTTCTATAAGCCTGCTACGGAGGCTACAGTCGGTCACTGGGCCAGCGTAAAATATATAGGACGCAAGAGATCCATGAAAATCACCCGTGCGTATTTCGACATTTCCACGTATTACCTTCAATGTCAGGCTTAGATCAGGTTAAAGGGAATATATTTCAGACGATACTGCTCTTGTAAATACATGACATGATACGGATTGTTAGTTAAAGTAAAATTTACGGTTTAAATCGGCCCGATACTTGCGTGTTGGGAAATAAATAAAAGTGATCGAGTGGCACTCACCCGGACGTTTCCTTTCGTCCTCTGCTTGTTTTTTCCTCCCATGTTGGTTCCCACACTTCGGACACGTTTCCTGGTTTACAATTTTGTACTTCTACGCAGACTTTCGGCGCTGTAGGCGTGGCAGAAACTCCAAAATAACATAAAATGGGAAGCAAAACACAAAATTCTTTCACATGGCAGCGGCCATTTTGAAAATTACCCACAGTGCTCTCGTGCGGGATAAACTATTGACCCTTTCAGGGAAGAAGTGCAGCTGTCAATCAAACGTGAACTAATCTCCAAGCAGATGTTTAGTGGCCGCAAAAGACAGTACTGTCTGACAGAATGACAGAAACATCTGCTATCAAATTGGCCAGGGGTGCCCTAATTCCAACCCATCCCTAATATCCTTTTCCCCGACAGCCTGGGTGGTCAAATATTATGGATACACTGCCTGGGAAATGGATACTGTAATTCCTGATTTGTTCACTGTACTGATAAGTTCACTGTTTTCACTGTTGCTTCTGCACAGTGAACTTATCATTACAGTTAACAAATAATTCCTGGACTTTCTGCTTCCTACAGCTGTCGCCACCGTGAACATATAGTTACGTGAACATGTCCATTTTTCTCAGACCGTGAAATTTTGCTACCGTGAACATAAAGTGAATTACAGTACTGCCTGCCTGGTCAACTTGATGCTGTCTTTTGCTAGCCTCTACCAGGCTTCGGGAGCGGCAAACTGTACTCTCTAGCGGACCAACTCCCTTGGCACGCTATCTCTCTATTTCATATTTGGCTCTTTCCAGCCGCCTCCCGAAGCCTGGTAAGAGGCTAGTCTTTTGTGGCCACCGAAACATCTGCTTGGAGATTACGTGGAACCCCTGGAGGATAGGGTTACTTTTTCAAGGCGAAAAGTAGGGAAAAGAACTTTTTCCTGGTTGTTGGAAAGGAAAGAAGACGCATTAAATCAGGGATCTGTTGGTATGGCAAAGACAGAAGTCAGTCAAAGGAGAGGTTTTCCAAGGTTTTCAATATTTTAAATGTCCTTGGTTGTACCATTCAGGAAGTTATATACAACCTGCTTGGTTTTACACTACAAAGTAAAATAACAGAGCTCAAAGGTCCACTCACGGTACGCACTGAGGCGAAAACATTTTCTCATTGCCGATAGATTTTTGACAGATTTTTGGCTAATATTGATAAGAACTTCAAAGAAGTTTATTTGCAAATTCTTGCCCGAAGACTTTAATATTGCAGCAAACAGTGAGCATGTATAAAGAGAAACAAGTAACTATATTTACAGGGCTTTTATCATTTATTTATGTTTATAGGGTTTCGGACATAGTAAGTGGTTTTTCACTTCGCTCCTTAGTGACGGCTAAAAATCTTCATGTGAAAAAGCTACAAAAGGACCAAATTTCTGTTTCTTCAACTCAAAATTTTATTAAAACGTTATTTTCCGACTCTACTATGACGTCTTTTATAATTTTCCTGGGAACGAGTTGCACCTTTGTGACGAACGAGACCCTGCGAACGAGACTATCGCGTCACTTACCCAGCATGCCCTGCGCTTGTGTGACGTCAGAATAACCGCGCGTGCGCACGCGCGAGAACCTGACAAGCTGAAACCTCCACATGAAATGATCAGTTTCCTAAATAACAACATCTCTCGTTTCGTTACTAACGACTCTGACGTTAAAACAATACTGCCAGAGACAGTCGGAGGGACAAGGGATAGGCTGGACACACGGGGGAATGATGCAGAAGAGACGGAATGCCGATATAGGCAAGCTACGACGGCCTCTCAAGAGGAATAAAATCACCGAGAGCATCTATGGCAGGTAGGGCATGATGGAGGAGGTTGTCTCCACTGATTTCTCCGCACAACAAAACACTCCGGCGTTCAGGGGGGGATTCCTCACAAAGAATTATCTCGAACCGTTAACCAGACGTCGGCTCGCTAATTTGTCTCGATGTGTCGCGTCGGTTCGGTTCCACATTGATTGTAAGGCGCCACCGTTGCGCAGTGTTTGGAATGATGTCGGATCGGCAGAGAACGGCGCTCAGTTCACCCCTCAGCGCCTCACCTGTTGTCCTGATCTCCATATCCTCACCAGACAGCCTTATACGGCTCACCTACACCCAAATCTAGCCTTACAAAAACGTATCCGCCGATATGGTGGTACAGAAAATCATCCACGATCTCGCGGAGGATAATTTGTAAGACATCATGTCTGCTGTTTTTTCTTGGGTGCCATTTTGCAAATTTTCATCGAATCGAAAATGTCAAAGGGATTTTCACAGATTGAATGTTGTCTTAGATCCACCCGGAGTCTACCAAACACAGGGAATCTAACCAGTTTAGCAGTCCTTGGTGGTAAATAGGTAACCAAGTATAGGCTAATTATGTGTTTTGGATGTCGGCCAAAACATGAACTTGTACGTACATGTATGGTATCCTTTCCAGTGTCTTCTATTTCTACGGTGTTGTTATTATACGACAGACACCCGTTTTTCTTATCATTAGTAAGGTACATGCACTATGAATATTCATTAGTTGTAGGGTTTCATTAGTCTGCCAACAGGACCAAAACAAAAGCCAGAGAAGTGATTTGGTTCAGTTGTAAACAAAAGGAAATCTTCACATTGGCTTCAGTGTATTTACATAATGTGCACAACAGGTAGGACAAAGAAAAGTGGTAACCAGGGTCCCTAACAACTCTGCTGGTTTGTCTGATCAGTTTGAAGAATAACAGGCGACAAAGAAACAAAACAACTTTTTTTTTTTCTTTTAGTCAAAATCAGTTGTGAGATTGTCTCATGTTACTGTGTTTTGAAGTAAACAATAGAATATCGAGGTGTCAGAATCCAAGGTGACAAAAGGAAAGTTGTTTTTCTTCCTTCCCAAAAACCTTTTAAGTCCATGCAGAAGCCTGGTGGTCAGAATTTATGTTTTTTTAGAGTTCATGTATTTTAATTTTCTATATCTGCATGTATACAGTGGATACAAGGACAAATTCACCAAATGTAGCCATTTGGAACATAGAGCACTGGATAGTAACATTAGAACTCACCATGTCCCTGTGTGGTTAACTAACATATGTAACGTTACCTATACTATATGTACATCATCACCATACATTTACCATCATAAATCCATGACTTGGATCCTCATATGTTTGTGTTTCATTACTATATAATCAAACCAAACCATACCCAACTGATTGTTCCTTACAGACCCCCCTCAGATACTAATTATGTATGCAAGAAAACAGGTGCACCAGTCTGTTACTTCCTGTCAGGGTCACAGGTCAAGTGTAAAAGCTATGTTGAGTGGAGGGAGTAAATTGGTCGTTTTTAGGGGGTTCCGGCAAATCTAGTTTTATGGAGTTCCCTGGTTGCTTTTCAATTGCACCAATTTGTGTGTATGACTACTTCCTGGCTAGTAGTATGTACACAAACAAAGGTTTATGTTCCCCTTTTCTGAAGTGTTCTTGCACAAGTGTAGCAAAAAATTCTACATGTAAACACAGCTAGAGGTGCTAGCTGTCATTTTGACAAGTTTTCTCCAACCTGTAAAGTAATTTGACCAACAAAATGGCAACAACAGACAAAACAGCAGAGATTTCTCTCTGGTTAATAATTAATGAGTAGGACCCATTCACTTCCACCTGTTCTATTGGTTATAAATTTCAACAGTAGCAACAAGTTGCCTTGTTTTACTCTTGCCTTGATCACAATACATGAAAGGAACTTGCAATACATGCTCTTGGCTATGAACATAGCATTCAGGACCTGTCCTGACACAGACCGTCTACTACTAGTATGTACACGTATGTCCTTACCAGATTTAGCAATTTTGCCTCATTTGATGTACAAAAAAGAATCAATGTGTATTTTATGATGATTGTAACTTTCTTTTAACTATAACTTATAAGAGGCACATTTGTAGGGTATTGGAAGCCGAGGCTATAGAAGATGTCCGCACTCAGTGGCTGCCCTACACATTATTGCCTTTGAAAAAAGCCTTCTACATTTGAAGTCTTAGATTCTTAGAAACCAAAACATTGTCTTCAGAGTTTTCAATAATACAGAACCAACAGGTCAGGACTTGTTGTCTGCCCTGGGGGGGGGGGGTGCTCAGGTGAGAAGGATTTTGTCTACAGACAAAAGAAGTTGACACCTGAGTGAGTCCTCCCAGCCTGACAGGTTTCTCACACGGCCCAGTTAACAATGTTGTCTCTGTTGTTATGGCTCGTGCAGTAAGCTGTTGTCAGTCACCCTGGAAAATCAAAACACGGGGCCTTGAACACAAATTAAGGGGTTCTGATTTGTGTTAGTCTTTATGTTTCTTACAGATTTTTATGACTCTTGTGTTTTTTTTTTTTGCCAGAAAGTCTCCCAGTACATGGTCTAGGGTCAGTGACACCTGGTTTCGCTTGAAGCCATAATATATTATGCAGCTTTAAGGTGTCAGAGGATGTAAACAAAAACTGGTTAATCTGCACAACCCAACATTGTATTGTAAGAACTGCACCCAGTGCAACTTGGGCTCAATGAAGTATTTTTTGCTTGTATGTATGTATGTGTTTGTGTCTGTGTGTGTTTTGTGTCTGTGTATATCATACTATATGGGTGTCTGTATGTGTGTATCTATTCTTGACTTTGTGTAAATCCCAACACATTTGTAATAATATATAGATTGTAGCACTGCTATACATTCACCGTCATACTTGGCCAGTACTTAGTCGGCCTGGAGTGCATGTGGGTAAGCAAAGCAATATGGGTAAGGGGATGAAGTCTGCCATTTCCCCAATTTGAGTCCCAGACAAATTTGTTGTGTCAACAACTTATTGCAGGCTGACAGATACATACATAGTAATGACATGCCATGGAACCCAAGTGGCAGAACATGACAGTTAAAAGACATACCTACCAGAATCTGCAACTTGCACGAAAACAATCATGGTATTGCAATATTCGATCTCTAGTCTGAAGTTTTTGGTTCTGTAAAATTTTAAGTCTCTACAGTAGAGTCTCTACTAGTAGAGACTTAAAATTTTACAGAACCAAAAACTTCAGACTAGAGATGGAATGTATTATGAAATGGCATGTTGATGTTGTAGCATAGTAGAAGTTGGCTTTGGACTTTGCAGTTTTTCAAACCCGCAAGTACTAGTTATTTTTTCTAGTAAGTTTTTGAAGCCTTCAGGTTTTAATGAGTCCTGCTGTAGATCATTAAAAGGTGATTGACAATCGGCGGTGAAATTGCTGCAGGTTGCAAGCCGGTGCGCCAGACAGACGGAGTTATTATTATTCACATTTGTATGAGACACGTGCGTGCAAGTGGGAACACGTGGGAACTAATAATTCCAGACACGAGTACAGTTTTTCCATGTGACTGGTACTAATTGGCCTTGTTTATTCATCACACCTGCTGGGTATACAGGTGGTATTTCTTGCAGTTTGATATACGATACATAAAGAAGATGATATGAAATCAAATCGTAGTCTCTGTGCCTCCTTTGAAGTGCTTTCCAGCAGCTTTTCTTTGAAGTAAGAAATAATGGATTCAGTATTAGAAATGTGCTGGAAAATTGAATGGCAGAAACACGCGTAGTCAAACGTGTGACGGCACACGTACACGTGTATGTGACAAGCGTGGGCCTGAAGTGAATTTGAAGGTAGCCACGCGAGAAAAAAAGACATGTTTTTTAACGTGAGTAGTCCTTATAATTGGTTTGGTTTGTCTGGTAGTGCAGGTGGCATCTCTTGGAAGTTGGAGCATGTGCTTGACATTCACGTGGAAATGTTGTTTACTAGCTGTAGATTTTTTTTTTTAAGATTAAATTTGCAAGACGTATTTTTCTGTAAGAAACAGATGGTTTCAACAAGACTAATATCATCCAACATCCACTTGTGCATGGGTTCTGTGGTCTTAGCCACATAAATGCAAGAGATTTTGTTTCTGGTGAATTTTGATAAACATAGAGTATATCAAGTATGAGTAAGGACTGTGTCTATGTGTGAAAGCTAAACAAAAGGCAGATAGTTGTTTCTCCAAATTTATGGCAAAAATTTAATGTAATTTCTGTGCTGCACAGAAAACTTCTTTGAAAATTTCATAGAAAAATGTATTTTTTTTTAAATAATACAATAACAGTTTGCAATTTTGACACTGCAGAAGAAAATACTGACAACTTGCAATTTGATAGGCTAAGAATGTGTAATGTCTGGCTGTTTAAGAAATCGTCTTTTGTGAAAAGGATGTCTACTTGGGAGCGCCGTGTGTTTGTTTAGCCCAGTGTTGTCAGACTCCAGGTTTTGTTTAGGTTTGCAGATGTTTTCCATGTTTGTTTGCTCGGCCTCCTTAAAGTCAGAACCAAGAAGCTACCTGATCTAATCCTTCAAGGCATGCGTCTTGTTGACCATATATGGCGAGGCCTTGGGATAAGACGTGCTCGCTCTTTCGCATCACCTGAAATAGACTAACAAGATATACACAAGGACATGTTAATGACATGAAGTAGAGGCATTATAGTGTAGGTTGGAAAACAACTCTCAACCATCCAACACTAATGGCATGGACAAATAAGGCTGGAATATAAAGCCACACCAATTTGGTAGTTCTCAATTTTTTAATGAAGACTTGAAAACAAAGCCTGCAGAAAAGGTTGATGCCTTGGTGCATCCAGTTTATTTATGAAGATTTACCACATTTGTGGAAGGATTGACATAACAGGACCTGGTGACTATCACCTCTTCAAAGATGTCAAACCTGAGACCAGACTGTAAGGTTTGAACCACTCACACCGGGAAGGTCCCCCAGTTTTGACTAAAGTAGAGGTGTTGCAGCCATGTACTATATAGTTTTCCTCCCTGCCTTCTGCTTTTATGCAGGCAAAATGGGAAAAAAGCTCTGAAGACAGATAAAAAGAATAAGATAGATTCACCAAAAATTGTCTTGTCTAGAAAGTAGAATGAAGTGGTAATAATCAGTATTTCAGCTACATACTGTGTCCGTGAGAAAGTGATTTTTCATCTGTCCCAGTAATTAAGCCATGAATGACGCATACATACCGGGGATCATGATCAGAATCTAGATCTGCCAATTACCCGATCTGGTGCTGGTGAAGAGTGATGGAGTGGTTGGCTAATTGGTTGGTGACATCTTTTGTGTCTCAGTGGGCTTTTTGATATACTATAGTCTGAAACCTTCAGCTATTGTGACTTGACATACACTTGTGGAATCATTATTTAGGAGTAATAGTGCTCAATAAGGGCCACATGACACATGGTTTCATCATGTGAATCCTAGATAGATACACGAAGCCCTGGGTATTCATGCCTGAGCATAAAATTAAAAGATATGGAGAAAATTAGCTGTATTGTAACGTGGCCAAAGCACAGATGGCAACTCTGATGATTAACCGTAAAAATGTACAATAGATTGATATAAACCAAACCATGTTTTTTTGTTTATGTATATATCACAACATTCCTGTACCTGGAGTGTGTGTGTTTGTTTGTGTGTGTTTGTGTATGTGTGTGTGTGTGTGTGTGTGTCTGTGTCTGTCTGACATCTCTGAATGCTGTGCTGTTTGTTTGAAGCACAACATTCCTGTACCTGAAGTTCCTGTTTGTTTGTGTGTGTGTGTTTGTCAGTCTGTCATCTCTGATTGCTGTTTGTTTATTTATTTGTTTGTTTGTTTGTTTGTTTGTAGCACAACATTCCTGTACCTGAAGTTCCTGTTGGTGTGTGTGTGTGTATATGTGTGTGTGTGCGTGTTTATCTGTCCGTCTGTCTGTCATCTCTGACTGCTATTGTTGTTTGTTTGTTTGTAGCACAACATTCCTGTACCTGAAGTTCCTGTTGGTGTGGGGTCTGGTGATGCTGGCAGACTTCATCCTGGAGTTCCGCTTCGAGTACCTCTGGCCGTTCTGGCTGCTCCTGCGCAGCGTCTACGACTCCTTCAAGTACCAAGGACTGGTGAGTTACAGGAGTTCTATTCACTGTGTATAGAACCGTGCATTATCCAAAAATGGGCTCAGGCATGGTTCTGGATAGTTCACATGTATCCACAACCATGCTTTATCTAGAGCCTTGCTCAGGCAAGGTTTTGGATAGTCTACGTATACAGGTATCCAGAACCATGTCTGGGACAAAGCTACGTTCTTGGATACCAGGAGTTTTGGGAAATTAAATCCACATGACATCAAACTGATTTCTTATGGTATTTCTCTTGAGCCTCCCGGACTACATTGTAGATAATCATTGTTGTTGTTTCTTTCAGGCGTTTTCAGTATTCTTCGTCTGTGTTGCCTTCACCTCGGACATGATCTGCCTGCTGTTCATCCCTGTACACTGGCTGTTCTTTGCTGCCAGCACGTACGTCTGGGTACAGTACGTCTGGCACACAGGTGAGCACGACCTCTGACTCCTGACTTACTGACCTCCAACCCCTAACCTCTCACCCTTATCCCCCCTTAAACCTCCTTCATAAGAATTCAGAGAATTGTGTTTTCCACAAAAAAAAGAGAAGTAGCAGCTGACAAAAAAATCCTTTTCTTCCCAACAGAACAGTCTTGCTACTACTCCTTGACAATGACATTGTTGATCATCTTTAAAAAGATATCCTAAGATTTATAGTGCAGAGTAAGCTAGCTTCCTTTTTGATCCTCAGGAAAAGAATTTTCATTTTTCCTTTCTCTTCCCCACAGAACGAGGGATCTGTCTGCCGACGGTCTCGCTATGGCTCTTGTTTGTCTACATCGAGGCGTCGGTGAGATTGAAGGACCTGGGAAAAGGATTCCACGTAGATCTGTGTCGACCATTCGCAGCACATTGGTCAGCCGCCTTCTTTTGTTTTTTCGTAGCATCATTTCACAATCTTATGTTCAATGTGCATGACACGATTGTTTGAAATATGTTTAAGGTTGATACTTACTTAGGTAGCTACTCTGAAACTACAATGTACCACTTATAAACAATTGCAGGCAACATGCCGTGAAGTTAGGCAGCTTTGATGTCATTTGTGCCTTTATTTAAAGTTTATTTTGGTCAACCAAGGTCTCAGAAGCTTTTTTCCTGATACTTGAAATTCGATGTGAAGAATATGCTGTGTACTCCGTAGTGTACAATATTACCTGATAGCATATACATGTAACCCTACACATATATCTAGATGCACAATAGTGTATGATAATTTATATACCCACCGCTGCCCAGTATTTCTGGCCCAGGACATAATAAGAATGTTTTCATTTCCTGTCTGCCGTTCTGAACTGTTTTGGTGCGGTGCAAGCTCTGATTTCCTGCAAAACAACAAATTGGCCTGGCCTGATGTGTAAATTCATGAACAGTTCACTCAAAACAAAGTGTGGACAAGGTGTGGTCAGAGACAAGTAGTCCACCCTCCCAACATTTCCCTGATTAATTCTCTGTTTTCTTGCTGCTTTTTTCCAGTATTGGCTATCCAATGGTCACACTTGGCTTCGGGGTCAAAAGCTACATATCATATCGGATGAGACTCCGAAAGCAGAAAGACGTAGCGAAAGAAAACGAGTTTTACATGCAGCTGTTGCAGCAAGCGCTACCGCCAGAGATGCAGCAGAAAAATATTTATTCTGGCAACGACACGAAAGGTGAGGTTTCGTTTCCTAGATTTAGAGGTTGAAAATCATACTGGAAATGCTCCATTTATAAGATGTCTATATCAAACGATATCTGGGTCAAACATGTACTAATTTGATAGATGCAGTAGCAATATGTGTTCTGATATTTCTCCAATGAGTAAGGCCATGTAACGTTACAGCATTTTTATAACATTAAGTTAACTCTTTGGTTTTTTACAAAGAAATTATGCAGACACAGACATGCCAAACCAGTAATAATTGCGCAACTGTTAAATATTTATTTCACAAAAAGTGGCCTGCAGGTCAGTTTGCTTATTCCATGAATAAACATTATATAAGCATCAAACAAACAAATTTCCCCTACTGATCAATTGCTGACATCACATATCCGTAAAGTCTTGTGTGAATAAGGTCACTTGTCTGTAACCATAACTCTCACAAGATAATATGTTTTGAAGTGATTGGTCATTGATTATCCTGATGAAGGCGACATTAGTCGGTGAAAATTTGATCTCTAACATCTGTGTCCATAATATCACCATAGTCCATAATATCACCACCTTGAGAAATAGTGTGCTTAAAGATATTTTTACTGCAACATACCCTAGGTATGTACATTTGAGGTGTGCAGGAGTGCATACCAAAAATATGTTGCAGTAGAAAATATCTTTAAGCACACTATTTCTCAAGGTGGCGATATTATGGACCCTGGTGATATTATGGACACAGATGTTAATCCTTGTGTTGGAGTAAAGTTCAACATTTTACTAAAATTTCCCTCGCATTTTCCTCAGCGTTGCCGGCGGCCAAATCAGGCGATGAAGTTGTTGCAAACGGCGGGCCAAAGAAACTTGCCGACAAGAAGCTGCCAAACGGCGACATAGACGAGGATGAGTTAGAATACATGGAGAACAGCCTCAAGCGCAGCAACCACAGGTAAGGCCTAGGAAAAAATGTTGTGTTTCCTGTTTCCCGACTGACTCTAGAAAAACCTGCTGACCCTAGCATTTTTAGGGGGTGGACCCCTGCCAGGGACGTAAAGTTTTCGAGCTGATTGACATTTTCTAGCTCCATGATCTGACAGTTCTGAACGATGAAACTTGTACAATCGGTTTTCCAACATTAACATTGAAAATAGAAGTGTCCTCGTGCAAGTTTTACTTTGATAAACACTGTATTGTGTTGGATCACTAGAGATTGCCAAAGTCTAATAAAAGAAAAAGAAGAATTTCAAAGATAATCCTTACTTCCCGACCCTTATGGTCTGTAATCCATGAATAATTTTTCTTGTTTGACCCCAGCGACTACGGTGGCAGCAGAGAGAACTTATGAAATAGGCCACTTTTTCTACAATGTGTGGGTTCCATGATGTTAATTGGAGAGTACTGTGTAGATTTTTGTTTGTGTGTAACCCATGAATTAGTTTTTTTCTCCCAACCCCAGCACTTTTTCTGTAATATGTGGGTTCTGTGATGTTAAGAGAAGACTACATCAGCACATGTATGTTTCTTGTCTGTAACCTGTGAATTATTTTTTCTCCCACCCCAGCGACTACGGTGGCAGCAGAGAGAACTTATCAGACGGGAAAAATAAGTCTGGCAGTGGCAGCTCCACGCCGCAGAATAAAGTGAAAAACGGGAGCGTGGTCAAGGACTCGACGTCCCAAGCGCAGAAGGCCAAAAAGAACGTAGGGAAGAGCGATCAGAAGGGGGCAGACGTCACGGCCAGCTCCCTACATGCATCCGTGGATAAAACAGCCAAGTAAGTCCAGCATTTCCTTCTCTTGCAAGTCTTTTTTTTTTGTGGCGCTGGACACAAACAAGGCTCTTTTTCTTACCATTCTGTAGACTACAATACTGAAATAGTTTCTGTCAATCAAGGCCCCATAGCTAGCATCACCCTAATACTTGTGCCAAAATTATTGTAAAACGTTTTTGCAAAATTTTTAACTACTGTCTACAGTAATGCTTCCGGTCAACCAAGACCCCATAGGCAGTAACAACATTAGAACTGTTTCTGGTCAACCAAGACCCCATAGGTAGTGACAACTATTTTTTTTCTCCCGTTAGACTGGAGAGTGATATGAAGAGGCTGAAGGCTGACCTGCAGAACTTAACATTTTCTTTCGTGCATACTGATTGTATACTCTAACAGTTAAACATTTTTTCCTGTCCTTAGACTGGAGACTGAGTACAAATTGTACAATATTTGTGGGTTTTTTTCCTTCCAGACTGGAGAGTGATATGAAGAGGCTGAAGGCTGACCTGCAGGCGAGCCGTCAGATGGAGCTGGACCTCCGCTCACACATCAACTCCCTCATGCAGGAGGACCGCAGCACCAAGTCAGAGCTCAGCCAGCTGCGCATGGACAACGAGAGCCTACAGTCAAAGTACGACCTTTATCAATGTCAATCAATCAAATTAAACTGATAACAAGAGCCTACAGTCAAAGTACAGTATGTCATTCAAGCAATATTGAATAATCAATTAGTTATATGTCAATGAAGGCTAGACATTCAGGTAATGAGATACACAAGAAAACAGTTACTCAACTTCTTGAGCAATTGGATGGATTTTGAAAATCTATTATACTAGTATTTGAAAATCTATCCAGAATTCAGTATCTTCAGATTCATTAATGTTTTGTCGACTTTAAACTGTCAGTACAATTCAGGAATAGCATTGAATTATTTGACTTGTTTTATTGCTTATCACATGATGTATTAATTTTTTTTTAGTATCGTTTTGTAAAAAAAAGTAAACCAACTAACAAGACTATAGACAGATGAGGCAGTCAGTTCTCACTCTCAGTGAGCTCGTCACCAGATAAGTTCTTTCATAGTTCTTTTTACCTGCGGGGGAGGAGACATCCTTCCACGGAAGGGTTTTGTGAGAGATTTAGATTTTCATGTTCGCAGCTGTTTCTCGGGTTTGGGTGGACGGATTTTTTTGGGACTTGGTGTATGTTTTGCTATTGGGCTGTAGATGATGCACGTTCTTTTGTTTTTATTGTATATGTGTTTTAGGGCGTGAAAATGGTGTCTTTTGGTGGCCCCAGAACACCCCTTTGAGCATGAAAATGGTCGCGACCGTTGACCTTTGGCGTGTATAAAATATTCTCGGTCTGGTCCACGTATATGACCCCTCGTACAGAGGGGTGTCTGGTCACGATAAATTCTTTGTTTAAAACCCTAGTCCTGCGGCGAACAACAATTGTTGTAAGCAACATATAAAAATATACAATAAAAAGCCCGGAGGTATAAAATCTCATATTTTACTTGTTTATATGTGTTTACAAAGTAGACAAGCCAAAACTGATGTAACACCATCTCTGTGTCCCCAGGCTGCACAACTTGGTGACGGCGCGGCAGAAGGACAAGGAGAACCTCATCGCCACCGAGAAGAAGCTCCGCGCCGAGCAGGAGAACAAGGCCGCGCTGGAGAAACAGCTCCGAGACGAGAGGAAGAAAAAACAGGCCGAGGAGATGGCAGCGGCCCGGGCACTCGCTGCAGCGGCTGCAAACGCCTCCAGGTTGGTAAAACTTTTACTAGCCTCAAACAGGCTTCAGAAGCTGCTGTTATAGTGTTAGTAGCCCCCACCAGGCTTCAAAGGTGACTGGAAAGAGTAGTAATTTGCCAAATAGACAGAAAATGTGCCAGAAGAGTTAGTCTGCTAAAACTACAACTTTCCCCTCCCTAACTGAACTCCTACAGCAGACCAACTCCCCTGGTAATGTTATCTGTATATTTGGCCAATTTCTGCTCTTGTTAGCCACCTCTGAACCCTAGTAGAGGCTACTCTACTAGTAGATATTTACCAGAGGAAGAAAAAACAGGCCGAGGAGATGGCAGCGTCCCGGGCACTCGCTGCAGCGGCTGCAAACGCCTCCAGGTTGGTAAACCTTCATCAGGATTTACTAGCCTCGAACTGGCTTCAGAAGCCACCTTTATAAGCACGTCAGCAGAACATACTGCACCTGTGCAAAACCCTGATTTTTCACGGTTTTCATTGGATGTTTGGTCACCGTTGCATTAGAATTTTGGCTGTTGTAGAGGATATCTTTGTGGACATGATATTTGGAAACTACAGACGGAATGTTAACCATAAATGCAAATACAAGATGTTCTGCAGAAGTGCTATACACATTACACAACTGGTTTTGTGCAGGTGCAGTACATTCTGCTGCATGTACATTATTAGTTTGAAGTAGAGATAGTTAGAGTAGATAGCTAACATGAACATAAAACTTCATGTTAGCATAATGGTTTTATACCATTCCTAATTTTCATTCTGTACTCATTGTTCTTGTCAGTGTCTGTTTGCAATTAGCCTCCGGGCTAATTGAACTTGCAATAAAGCTGTTCTATTCTATAATAAAGACATCCCCCTTCTTCCCCCCCTCCAGAGGAGAGTGCACGGAGAACTGTAAGCAGCGGCACCGCGAGCTGGAGTCAGAGGTGAAGAAGCTGCGGCGGGACCTGAAGCAGCGAGACGACCAGCTGGCCACCGCTGAGCTCGAGAAGAAGTCGCTGCGCAACAAGGAGTCTCAGCAGGACACAGAGGTCTGTTGGTTTGTCTGTCTGTCTGTCTGTCTGTCTGGTCTCGAGTTTGCAGTTGTATTGGGTGAAGTGGTATTGGGTGCCTTTGCAAAGCACATGATGTTAGGTACTGCCAGGGATCTGAACCCATATCCTTCAGCTTCTGAGTCAACAACCCTGACTTAACCGTAAGACTACCTTGGAGGTGGGGTCGAGTGGCGTAACAGCAGAGTGCTCGACTCTAAACCAAGAGGTCCCGGGTTCGAATCCTGTACCACCAATCTTGTGCCCTCAGGAAAGGCACTTTACACGACTTTCCCTACTTAACTCAAGTGAATATGAGTATTGTCTTGTTCTGTATTTGTCATCTGCGTTGGTGGCAGCATAGAATAAGTTGATATCATTTGAGTGTGCCATCACCATGTCTCGTCATGAAATGCTGGAGTATAATAAAAAAAAAAGACTACCTTGCCACCTTTTGTTGAGTTTTCCTCTCCTCTTCCCTGCCTGCAGGTTCTGATGTCAGCGCTGAACGCCATGCAGGACAAGAACACCCACCTGGAGTCCAGCCTGAGCGCCGAGACGCGCCTCAAACTCGACCTGTTCTCCGCACTCGGCGACGTCAAAAGGCAGCAGGAGATCGCACAAGGTCAGACACGCTTCCCAGACAAGCTTTGGACTGTTGTTTTATCCAGAACTGTGCTTTATCCAGAACTAGGCTCAGGCATGCGTCCCAGACAGGCTTTAGATTGTTGTATCCATAACTGTGCTTCCCTCAAAACTGTGCTTTATACAGGACCATTCTCAAGCATGCATCCTGGATTTCAACTATCGTATCCAGAACTGTGCTTTATCCAGAACTGTGCTTTATCCAGAACTGTGCTTTATCCAGAACCTTGCTTTAACCAGAACTGTTTTGCTGTCAGTGTACTTTATGTCGTTTGTACCTAAATTTCTATGGTACAGGTGCAGTCATTCCCAAAAATGAATCTGGAGCCCTGATGCTTGTTGTCACACTATGACTGATAAAAGTCCTACATATATTTCCCTGCAGCCCAACTGCTACAGAAGGACCAGGAGGTTAAGAAGCTGGGTTTATGATTAACTTTTGCTGGCAGTGTACTTTGTTGCACGGTGACTAATAAAAGTCCTGTATATTTCCCTGCAGCCCAACTGCTACAGAAGGACCAGGAGGTGAAGGAGCTGTGTTTATGATTAAGTTTTGTTGTTGCACGATGACTAATAAAAGTCCTGTACGTTTCCCTGCAGCCCAACTGCTACAGAAGGATCAGGAGGTGAAGGACCTGGGTTTATGATTAAGTTTTGTTGTTGCACGATGACTAATAAAAGTCCTGTACGTTTCCCTGCAGCCCAACTGCTACAGAAGGACCAGGAGGTGCAGGAGCTGGGTTTATGATTAAGTTTTGCTGACAGTGTACTTGTTGTTGTTCCCTGCAGCCCAACTGCTACAGAAGGACCAGGAGGTGCAGGAGCTGGGTTTATGATTAAGTTTTGCTGACAGTGTACTTGTTGTTTCTTGCAGCCCAACTGCTACAGAAGGACCAGGAGGTGAAGGAGCTGAAGATGAAGATCGCCGAGCTGATGGCTCTCACGCCGGCCAGCGCCGACTCCACCATCACCGGCCTGGCTCCCTCCAGCTTCTCCCCGAAGTTCCGCCTGGGCCAGTCCGGCGACGACCGCCCAGTCCGCAGCTCTCGCCCGGCGGCGTGCTCGGGCTGAGCGGGAACCAGCTGGGGAACTCGCTGGCTCAGCTCCACAGCCTCGGGACCTCCAGCCTGGACCCCAACGCTGCCATCTACACGCCCAAGAACCAACACTAAGGACAGACACATCCGGCGCCTTCGAAAGCCGGGCGGTCGAACCAGGTGCTGGTGACACAAAATCTCCTGAAACAAAACTCCCTTTTCTCTCCTTCCCTTCATTTTTCCTGCTTGCAGGCTGCTTGTACATCTCTCAGAACCTTTGTTATGTTTCTCCATCATTTCTTCTGTTTGCAAATTGCTATGTGAGCACGTTCTCACCAAGAATCGCCAAGACTCCATGGCAGCATTATTGGACAAAGCAATAAAAATACTACAAGGTTGTAAAGAAAGAATTAAAGGAGGGACAACTTAAGCCAGTTGAAGTGAACAGAATGTGTTGAGCACAAAAGTTACCCAGGATGGTACATGGAAAAACTGTCTTCTCACTGCTGGTCGGCAGGTACTTAAAGTTTAAAGAAGTCTTATTTCTCTCGAAGGGCACCCAGCATTTCTTGAGGAACTGTGGGGACTGTTTCTTAAGGCATTTCGTTTATGTGAATCTCAGTGAAAGTTGTCGCGATGCTCGCCCAAAGCGATACATTGCCTTTGTGAAGCCGTGCGGTATATAATTTATGGAAAATAATACTTTTTCTCAGAAGTTTTAATATTGTGTTTTGCAAGTCGTGCGTTGTAAGAAGATTGGTGACAAAATCTGTAAGTAAGACTGCTTAGCAATAATGTTAGTGGCGTCACATAAGTGAAGTACTTTGTATATGGTGAGAGTTGAGAGAAGAAATTGAAGTTAAACGTATCCAAATTTATATCTTCAGAAGTACTAAAGAGTAGAGAGTATCTCATTTAAAGTGTATGTGTGTATTGTCTTGAATTTTGTACTCTATAAAAGTAACGTGTTTGTAGATGGTGGACTGATTGCACATTTATTAATTTTGTAGATGCACCGGTATGGTTATTCCAACATTGTCCACGTGCCTATAGTACAACTGAGGAAAACAAGTATTACAAACACTGGTTCCTCAGGGGAATCTATTCAACTCTTTTTTCATATCGTAAACCTTAACAGCTTGGCAGCAAGAACAGCAAGAAAGAAATCGGCTGAAAACATTTTTACAGAGTTGTGTTAGAGCATATCTTATCTTTAAATGCAGCCATTTTTAAATGCAAACTTGTTCAAGAAAAAGAAACTGCAAAGAATTTGCCAAAAACAAATACAGAAAGTCTTGTCAATGCTAATATAAGCAAACATATTTTACAGCCTTGTGTCAGTCATATATTTTCAAATGGCAAGTCATTCAAGTACTGCAAGGAGATAAGAAATTGCAGAGCTATAACAAGTTTAATGAAAACATTTAAGATTATTATCTACATTATGAACATTATTTTGCAGACTTTTGTTACAAACAGCTTTTGCATCCATTTTTTAAAACTATAAGCCATTCAAGAACAGGTATAAGAACTAAAGAACAATGTGCTTAAAGAGAACAACAAAGAATTTGCTGACAACAGTCACCTTCTTGATGCAGATAAGAACATAAATTTGAAAACTCTAGCTTGAAGATATTCTACCTAAGTTTTGCAACAGATTTTGAAGAACAGTGCGCTCCAGACTTACAGCAGTGGCATTTATTTCATGTACCCAATGCTGCAATATCCTTGTTTGACAAATACAGCATTCATGACAACTGCTAGAAAGGCACTACTAAAAAGAAAGGCTGCTTTCCAAAAACTCTTGTTTATCTTTGCTTTCGTGGCTAACAGAACAGGCCATGTCATTCTTATAGAGGGTGCCATTTTGTTTTGCTAGTTTTCCTCGTCCCCGCTAACAGTGACTCTCAATGCTGGGCTTCCCCTTCTCGAACTTGTACTTAAGCCATAAATCCTTTGTCACCAGCACCTGGTACGACCGCACACACTCTTGTCATAAAGAAAAACGTTGAACGGACTCTGGGTACTGAATTCCTGATATCTATAAAACCAGTAAGAGCAGCAGGAACAACAGCCTTGCAGCTGGGAGTGTGTAAGGACCCTGCTGTGCCGTAGCCGTGTGCGTATGAGTTGCGTATGGGTTCTCGGGCTCCCCTGCGGGCGGTGATACCTGCCCGTACGGTGGGGTATACTGTGTACTTGTGTGATACGTACTATACTGTGGGGAGGAGAGGGGTGGAACCAAACCGTCTCCTTTCTGTGATAACTGTTTCAATAAATCTGCTTATCCTGCAGCATAAAACAACACTCTACTTGGTTTTCTCTTTTTTATGGGAAGCAGTCCGTACTCTAGGTATTCCTGGTATTCCTCAGTAGACTGACCCAGTGAGACTTGTCACTTGTTACCAGATACCTTTGACCCAGTGTTGACCCCACACTTCAAGGGAAGCCACAATTGCCAAGCCTCACTGGGTCAGACTACTGAAGAAGACCAGAGTGACTGGTCAAAAGAACATTTATCTATTGTTTGAACAAAAGTTTTAACCTTAAACATGTAACTGCCAACACGGATCAACTTTAATGATAGTCATAAACTCAATGTACCCAATTTAAGGAGGTTAGAGAGAGAGAGCATGAATGAATGATGAAAGTTTTCCTGAAGTTATATTCTGATGATAAAAGTTTGCTTTCATTCTCGCTGGCTTTTTCCTAGCCACTTAAGTCTTGAACAGTCTACTTCTGAGAGAATAGGCTCGCTTATGTTGAGAATAGAGCATTTCTACTCAATGGAGGGGCCGGAAGTGCAGTTCAAGTAAAGCTTCAACAGAGGGCGGCGCTACACAGGCGGTAGACTGCTTGCAGTTCAAGCACACTACACCAACCTCTCAAAGTGATGGCTTTAAACAAGGCTTACATTTGGATGTGCAAAGCTTAGGTGACACGTGCTGTTCTTTCTGATACAGCTAGCTGCCGCTGCGTTGCATGCCTGCTGGTCATATGGATACAGAAGCTGGTGTGTTAGGCCGAAGGGCGGTTATACCGGCTATACAGATACAGAAGCTGGTGTGTTACGCCGAAGGACGGTTATACCGGCTATACAGATACAGAAGCTGGTGTGTTACGCCGAATGGCGATTATACCGGCTATACAGATACAGAAGCTGGTGCGTTATGCTGAAGGGCGGTTATACCGACTATACAGATACAGAAGCTGGTGTGTTACGCCGAATGGCGATTATACCGGCTATACAGATACAGAAGCTGGTGCGTTATGCTGAAGGGCGGTTATACCGGCTATACAGATACAGAAGCTGGTGTGTTACGCCGAATGGCGATTATACCGGCTATACAGATACAGAAGCTGGTGTGTTACGCCGAAGGGCGGTTATACCGGCTATACAGATACAGAAGTCTGGTGTGTTACGCCGAAGGGCAGTTATACCGGCTATACAGCTATACAGATACAGAAGCTGGTGTGTTACGCCGAAGGGCGGTTATACCGGCTATACAGATACAGAAGCTGGTGTGTTACGCCGAAGGGCGGTTATACCGGCTATACAGATACAGAAGCTGGTGTGTTATACCGAAGGGTGGTAATATAATTATGCCGGCTATACCGGTACAGATATGGATACAGAAGCTGGTGTGTTACACTGAAGGGTGGTTATGCGGAATAACAGAAGCTGATGTGTTGCGCTGAATGGATTTTATACCAGATGTACAGATACAGAAGCTGATGTGTTGAATCAAAAAGCTGTTATACCTGCTATACAGGTACAAAACCCTGGACTCCATCCAAGCTAGTCCCTTGAACGTTTCTTTTGACGCATTTTGGAGATAAAACAAAAACACCTTAAACCCCCGTTATCGAGCGGAGCACACTTATGAGTGAGAAAAGCCGCTCGGCTGAAACAAACAGTTCCGTGAAGGCAGCCTCCGGACATCTTTAAGTGGTCTTTGAAGATGCAGCAGCTTCGATCTGTTGCCGGCATCGTGTTTTGATGAGCTTTGGTAATCCGAGCACGTTGAGAGGGTGTTAGATGTCGATTTTGCGTTTTCTTGTCTTTTTTTTTTGTTATCCCTAGCTTAACCAATAAGCTAAAAATGTCCCCATGTTCCTGTTTTGTGATATCTATTATTTTATGTTATCTTTTTTCTTCCAACTACAAGCGTTATCTGTAACTCCTATAAGTAATTGGTGTGCATGTGGACAATCAAGGACTGAATAGCAAAAATCTAGGTTCTTGGCAATTGGATACGTGAAGACTATCCTTGAACGCTATTTTCCTCCCTCTACGGCTATCGAATAGCTATGGGACCGATGGATGGAGGACTATCCAGAACCGTGCCGTTGATCCAACCCTAACCCTTTCACTCATAGAACTAGATAGGCACGTCTCACGGGCCATGTTCAGAGGGTGTTAAGGCTTGCCTTTCTTGTTCCTATCCACCCACCAGTTACATGTAGTTCCATACAAGGCTTACCTGAACAGCGTACTTGGGAGTAGCTAGCCTCCATATCATGCCAAAAACTGGGGGTTTGGGAGGTCTTCATGGTCTTTGGGAGCTTTTATGTGCTATTTTCTGATTTCATATAGACAACATAGCCGGCCTGGTTGAATTACCCCCGTTTTTAGAACTGGGCTAATCAGAAAACAGCCGAAGACCACCAAACCCCCAGTTCTATAAGCCTGCTACGGAGGCTAGGAGTTAAGCTTGTAAAGTATTATTGAACAGTGCCTATACAAGATGGTGCACCGGCCCTTACATAACGCGTTGTGTAATACCGTATTGTCAACAGTCGGATTTGGTGTCTGAATTCCCGGCGTTCTCCCAACCCACGCCGGGATTCACCATGACGTCACCATGACGTAGGTACAGCGGTGCCCGAGGACCACAGATAGACGGGACAGATCTTTTAATCGGAAAAGAAGATTGACTGTCGTGAACTGTTAAGTCCGATATTTTGTTCTGACATACGAATTCTTCTTTTTGTACGTTTTTCCTTCGCACTAGGGGAGTGATGTATTCTTTGGGGCGTTTTTTTTTCTTCTTATCACAAAAGACACGAGAAGAGGCCGAACCTCTGTATTATGTTAGTTTTAGAGAAACTGTTGTTGGGTTAGTTTCAGAAGTCCTGACTGTATTATATACCTCTTTATTTGTTGAGCTGATCTGAATATTCATACCCCACATGTCCCTGTCCTTGGTACTGAAACAGTTCTTAACCATTGACTGTATCTAAAGTTAATGTCTATCTATAGGCAATGACGAGCATATAGTTCCACAACTATCATCAACTTAAAAACGTAATTTCGCTCTGTTTTTCATCCTTATTCTGGTACACTTGTGTCCCCAAATGCCCAAAACATTACCCTGTCCTTGGTGCTGAACCAATACCTAACCGTTGGCTGTCTATCTATAAGCAATAACTCGTAAATAGTCATTTCCACCACTAGTGTTGATGTAAAAGCTTCTTTCTGTTTTTTTTTCATTCTTATTCTCGTACATTCGTGCCTTACATGCTCAGAACCTTATCCTGTCCTTGGTGCTGAACTCACCATCACTAACTCATTGACTGTCTATCTATAGGCAATAATTCACAAATATTTTCATCACTAGTATCGACATGAAAGCTTCTTTCCGTTCTGTTTTTTTTCATTCGTGTTCTCGTACATTCGTACCTTACATTCCCAATCCTTACACTGTCCTTGGTGCTGAACTCACCATCACTAACTCATTGACTGTCTACCTTGATGCAACAAGTCGCAGGGAATAAATGAGACGAAAAAGTACATGTCTGGAGAAAAAGAGCTACAGGTTTTTACTCCCAACTCTTGTGGTATGTATACAACGTGGATTTGTGGTTAGGGCTGTAGACTTAGAACGGAGAGGTTCTGGGTTTGAATCCAGTGCAGGCCTTATGATCCGGTCTTACTGGTGTTAACGGTGTCTGAGACGGTTTACCGGTTTCGCAAACTTAAGAAAACATGCGGGAACCGTACAGATCTTGACAAAGGACACACGTGTACAATATCACAGGCTTGTCGTCTGTCGTATCCAGGAAGATTTGCCTCGGTACATTAGCGAAACTTGAGAACGAGATTTTTGGGACACAAACCCTTCTGAACTTTTCCCATCTTATCCCCAGACGGTGCTTTAAAGATCAGACGGTGAATTTTCTTTTACATAAGGAGTCTGCTTGTGTAAGAAGGCCGTCCTGACGTGAACTTTCTGTATCCTGAACCGTGTCTATCTAGTTGTACGCCGGAATATGGGGTAAGATGTCTATCTAGTTGAACTGTTCTATGTCTGAATATGGGTTAGGATCAGACAGGCTTATGCAGGCTATACAGATACAGATACAGAAGCTGGTGTGTTACGCCGAAGGGCAGTTATACCGGCTATACAGATACAGAAGCTAGTGTGTTACGCCGAAGGTCGGTTATACTGGCTATACAGATACAGAAGCTGGTGTGTTACGCTGAAGGGCGGTTATACCGGCTATACAGATACAGAAGATGTCTATCTAGTTGAATTGTTCTGAATATTGGTTAGGATCAGACAGGCATTGTTCTGGATAGTCTCCGCGTAAAGAATTTGCCCCGGGCACGGTTCTTGACACCCGTGGATTATCACTATCCATCGGTTCTGGACAAGGCCTTAGCGGCGTGTTACGCATAATAATTTTTTTTCTCTAGGTGCCTTTTTATGTCTGTTCTTGTTGAGTTTCCACATCATTGCTGGACTACAGATGAACATAGATATGATGGTCTGCATGGGGGAGGGGGTTATAATATTGATTACGAATTTCGCAAAATTTTCGCTGCCGATTACGAATTACGTTAAGTCTCAGGGCTGATTACGACTTTACGCTTTGCGGCTATATTAACTATTACGAATTACGTTGATTTTGGGGGAAGGCTGCCTACGGATTGTGGAGACTAAACAGGCCTGATTACGCCTAACGAAATAGGGCATGCAGGCCATCAGATATCAAACAAACCACAGATAGCAGACGAAATGGTTACCGGTAACACTCGGCTTCAACAGTCCTCATGTTCTCAATCGCAAAATCCCACTCATTCAAACGTGGAATATAACGTATGCCCGCTCTCTACTTGCTTCCGTCGCTTGTGTGCTATGTATGAAAGCTTGGCGCCAAGGATTGAAATCACCTGTCGGAAGCAACTGTTCGTGGGTGGCTCTATAATCATTCCAAGGTTGTTCCTCGTAATCTTCGATGTCAAATTTTGTTTGGAGATTCGAAAATGGAAACGACCCCATAAGGTCTGATCATGTAGTC